ATATGCTAGCAGCAAAAACTCATATTATTAGAAGCAAATAGGCTCTTTTAGAAATAGCCTTTTCAGATAAAGACAAACAACAACTGTATGCTTCAGAAGGAATTACAATGTTTAAACAAATATTCTTTAGATATGTTCTAGTTAATCTTAAGCATACATTTCTTTCAGTTAAATTGAAGAACACACCAATAGGCAATAAAGAAGTTATCAATAAACAGATTAAGGAAGCTTTCCAGAATATCAGCACTATTGCCTCTATAAAACTACTTCTATATGAAGGAATCTTAATATGCTTTGACTAATGGATTGTAACTTTTGAAATATCAAATAATCCAAACCTGATGGCCAGACTACCTAGACACACACATGTTGGTGACCACAAAGTCACTACAGACTAGAAGAAGGCTCCAAAATATATTATTACTGTGAAAAAACAGGATATATTAAAAAAGAATGTGCAGAACTTAGAGCTTCAATGAAACTAAGACAGTTACAAAAAGAATGAAAGAAATTCTTAATGGAAACAAACAAACTTACCAAAAAATGCAAACAGAAAATATATCCTCTAGTCCAAAAAACCCATATATCTCAAATATGATCACAGAACAAGATGGACTAAACACTAATGTACTAAATCCTAATCACCTAAAAGAAAATGACTCAATCAATACTATAGATGATCAGAACTTAACTTTTGAGAAAAACACAACTAGTATCTTCATTTCAAAACATAGTTCACCTTCAATAAAAGCTAATCACAAGAACACAAATAATGAAACACCTGCTACAAACTATGACCAATATATAACAATAGAACCATTAGATTGTAACAAAAAAAACAAAACTGAAGAGAAAGAATTTACTTTGGTCATTTCAAAAAAGAACAACTGAAAAGGAAACAAAAAGAAAACCCTTACAACAAGTAAGGAAAGTAATAAGAGTAGAACAGAGAATGCCCAAACAGGTTTCTCTCTCTACTAGTTAATCATTCCTACTTAGAACAAACTGCTGTATAGCCAATATATCTCTTTATATCTCATGATTAAAATTGCTACACTGAATGTTAAGAGCCTTAACAATAGAGTTAAGGCTCAAAAAACCCTAACACTTTTAAAATTTTATAAGTTAGATATAATATTTATTCAAGAAACAAATCTAAATGATCTTGTAACAAGAAAGTTTCTAGCACAACAATGGAATTACGACTCAATTTGGTCTTCCAAAACAGCTATTCTAATTAGAAAACCAAATATTAAATTAAAGAACTCTAAAATCTCACACAATGACAGAGTAATATTAGCAAAAGTAACCTTCATAAATAAACTTTATCTATTTACAAATGTCTATGCACCCCTCAGTTGAGATGATAGATATCAATTCTTCAACAACTAGACATCAATTAATAATAACAGTGCTATTACTATTATAGTAGGGGATTTTAACACCAATCTGGATCCTCAGATTAACTGCATTAGTCAAGCACCTTTGCAAAATGATCCTTCTAGAATACTGCTAAGAGAGGATGTGGCAACCTAGTGAAGTGGATAGGTTGTTAACCCTCAAGTGGCAGATCTAAGGTTCAATTTCCATGAACAACAAATTTTGAAAATTATACCTGTGTTATGGTAACTGTCTCTTGCCGATCAGTTGGGTTTTGGGTATCTGTAATCTTAGGTACACCAAGTCAGGTCTCACCTAACATTGGGAGCTCAGGCATCTATGTGAGGTATAATGTTACATGGTACATGTACATAAAGGAATGTAAAAAACTGGTATCATATAAGGCTTTGGTGCAAACCTACAATAAGACCACTGGGCATAGAAGGCTAAGAAACTGAAGAGACAGAAACTTACTTGGAAATCCTGAGTAAAGAGGTAGCACAAACTTTCAATGGTGCCATTGGACTGATAGAAGCCTATGAAACACCTTCATAGGAACTGTCAGATAAACCAGATGACAAAGATGTGTAGAGGATCATATGACCAACCAGGCTGCCAGAATCACCAGAGAAAAAGAATACATAAGTATACCATACCAGGCCATCTGGATTGGAAGTCTGGAAAGTCAGTTAGTTCTGAGTTGTGGCTAGTAGAGGATGATGAAAAAGAAGTCAGAAAGATGAGTACCAGAATTTGAATGAACTTTACAAGAGTAATAACAGTTTAAGAGATAACTTTGACTACAAGTGTTGGTCTTGGCCATAGCATCAAACCAGGTTAGTAATAAAAGAAAATATGGCTCACTCTGGTAGGTTTACCTTAAGGATAAAAATAGTCTAAGGATTATAGTCCTATGGTTGAATGTGAATAGATCTGGGTCTGTGATCTGGTAAAATTAATACTAGGGTTAGATCAGAGGGTTTAAATAGAACATCTAAGCAGAGGTATTAGGTATGGCAACTGGTAGGGAACCCTCGGGTGGACTCCTTAAATAGGTAATATAGAAAAGTTACACATGTAGCCAGTTGTACACTCGTCTAATAGTTCATTATAGATATGTCTATATAAAACATGTACCTGTTATAAGTATTAATAAAAAGCTCAGACCAAAGAGGTTACCTTAATACTGAAAAAAAAAAAACTATATTACTAATTCTCTTAAAGCTTTTTTTAACAGCTTGTGCCTATTAACATTATTAGCTTTACATTGTTCTTGTACTATCAATAGTATGTTTTTTAGAATTGATTCATAATTTTTAAATAGTTGGTTAGAACTTTCATTATTCATTATTGTAGCAATATTATCTAATATATATATCTATATTAATTAAAGTTAATCAAGTGTTATTAAAAATTTATTGCTATATATTTCTTATTTAATGAACTATTAGATATATAATTTAATGTAATTTTAATGAATTATTTGATATTAATAATAATGGTCTATGAATTTAAGTTTTTTGAGTTAGTAAGCTTATAAATGAATATGTATCTTTTCCATTAAACATTATAAAAAAAGAATAGATTAACAATAAAAGAATATGATTGAATAAAGTGTTTGCATAAAAAAAATCAATTCATTAAAAATCCAATACAATTGCAGAACCAGTTGTTAGTATTAGTCAAATAAGTATGCTTAAGATACTTTTTCTTCAATATATTCTATTCTTTTTTAAATTCTTTGCACTATAAAGGCAATTTACAATAATGATAATACTTGTAATATTGTTGCTAATAATGTGGCACAAGTAGTACAATAAGAATATAAATCACAAAATCCAGTCATATTCTAAAAAACTTTGGCAAAAAATCACACTTAACAACTTTCCAGTATGACTTAATTAACATTGTAATACAAAAAATAAAAATTCAATCTGATATTGATGAGTATGCTTATAATGGCCAAAGTTCACTGTAATACCAATTATATATATATATGACCAAACATGTTTAAGATTATTAGTGATACAAAATTCATATATTTCACTTATACACTGTGTTCAAATTTCTTTTGTATTATGAAAACTCCTTCTGAATTAGAAATAAGTAGATGCAGATGCATATAATGTTCTATTATTGAAGTTATTTTTGGTTGCAAATCTTTTGAACAAAAAGTAAAATTATTTTTTGCTTTAGACTTGTTTTTTTTTAGTATTTTAGGATAAAATCCAATAATTATAAAGTTAAATATACTATGTACATCATATAAACTATACATTATTTTTTGAGATAGAGTATTGTTTGCTAATTATTTTTTAAGAGCTTTCCTAAAGTGCTAATAACAAAGTTGTATTTTAATATTTGGTCATGCTTTATGTATTACTAAGATCTAAGCAAGATCTTTGTCAATATATATATAAATAAGTTAGTTCATTCCCAAATCCAATAATATCTTGAAAAAATTAGCTAAAACTTCAGTTTATATACTATCTTGTTTATCTTCCTCAATAAATAAATAAGCCAATGCAAATTCTGCTCTATTATATTAACCAATTATTGAATAAAGCTTATGTTCTAACTTATTAGTTTTATAGGTTGTGTCGACAAAGATTTTCTTGTTTTTTTTAAGACTAAAGGGTATTTAGATTATTTTTATATAATTTTACATAGTATTTTGAAATTTTTATATAAAATTAAAATATACACCTTATAAAACTTTTTTAAATTACAACCAATTTTTATTAAAATTTTACAAAATATAAATAAAATAATTTATCTATTATAATAAAATTTTGAACTATTATTATATTTAAAAAATATATACTTATATATATTACAAAGTTTTCTAAAATAGCTTAAAATTTCTAAATAGTACAAGAGTACTAAATTTGATTGCTTAATTTATATAACCTTATAAGTTAATTTAATTAATAAATTTTTATATCTAATCTTTAAAAAGTTATATCTTACTAATTTTTTAATCAAATTTAATAATTTTACTATCATTAAAATTAAAAAAATATGTTCTACAAACTTTTATTATAAATTAATATAAGTTTACTTAATATAATTTTTTATAAAATTAAATATAAAAAAATTTTATTATTGAGTTTATATATAATTTTAATATAGTACTCTTTACCCTTAAATTATTCAAAAAATAGTATAACAAAACCTAAAAATATAATTCTATTATTATTAAACATAACAATTTGATAATAATATTCCTCTAAAAGAATTTTTGTTAATTTTATTTGATTCATATTTTGAATAAAATTTTTTTTAATAAATATTATTTATTATATATGAATTTGGTTTTGAGTTATTTCAGAATAATTATGTTCTAACATTTTAAAAATATAACTTGCATTAAATAAAGATTGGTTTTGATCTTATTTTTGATTTTATTTTTAATTTCTTCTGTAACTCAATTTCTTTTAGATCATTAGTAAAGTATATTATATTTAAGTAAATAAATGTATTATTAGTTAATATATTTATAGAAATTCTAAGTGTATTACTACAATCAAAATATTCAATTGATTCATGATCTTTATAACATTCAGGATCTTGATGCTTAGAGGTTTTTTTGATAAACTTCAACATTGTAAATATTAATATTAAAACATATGTAATTTATTGTTTTTTTTCAAATTATAACAATTGAAATAAATGTAGTAATAATCATTATTATCATCTATCAAATTTATAATTTTTTTTGCTATTTCTTGTGGAGTATCTTCTTTATTTTTAAAATTGTCCAATATAATACTTGACTTAAAATTAATTTCAACTGCTTCATTTTCAAAATATTTGTCAGGTGCAACTACAAAAATTTTACTAAAAAGTTCTTCTGCTATTTCTTCAAAAGACAACACATTATTTTTATTTTGTTTAATTAAAGCTTTATAATGGTCTGAAGACCATAAACAACAAAATTTACAAAAATTTAAGATATAGTTTTTTTAATAAATTTATTTATAGGTATTAACTTCTGACATTTTGTACATTCATGTAATATATTATTTTTATTTATATCAATTTCAGTTTCTTTATGTTTTCTCTTTATTTTCATTTTGTAAAAAAGAAAAAAGTATTTTCTTATCATATTTATATAAATGCAAAAAAAAAATTATATTATACTACTGTTAGACCCGAAACCCATGATCTATGAGTGGCCGATTTCGGCATGGATCTTTGCCATTCAACCTCAAGTCATGCCCTCTGGAGTATGAAAATCTCTTATCATACTTGGGATAACCACTTATAATGATTATTTTGATTATATTGCTTATATTGATTATAATTATTATAATCAATACAAGCATTATAATCATTATAATCATTATAATAATTATTGGCACCCTAAAAATAAATAAAGAATTAGTTATAAATAATATGTAGTTTCATCCACATAATAAAGCGGATTCCCCTATCTGAGATAAATCGAATGAAAGATTCATCTACGAGTGACTGTAGAGGACCATTGTTAAAGAATAAACCTAACCCGAAATAGTAGTAAATTCCAACCCGATTGTCCAGTAATTATCGATATAGTGTGGAATACTGCAGTGTTGGAAAAAATAGGGTGATAGTCTCAATGTAGTGTAGACTATCCAGGATAAGTTAGACCCGAATCAAAATTACTTGCCAAATCTACATGCCTTTTTCGACTGAAAGCCATCCGAATGTTACACAAAGCCAACCTTCGATTAGTGACAGACTCACCGAATTAGAACCTCTCACTACATAAAAGTATAAAGCTAATAGTATGTAATTTATATATATATAATATAATATAGTAATTTAGTAATTTATAGTATTGTTGTGATTAGAAGTTTGTGACTCTGTCACTTCACAATTCTAAACCTCATATAATATATGACAAATAACCTTTTCGAAAGAGAATGTTAAATTTGGCTTGTAGGTGAGAAAGGCTTTCAGTTACTTTGGATCAACGAATGCAAGTAGGGTCAATCACATGATCAAGGGCTTGAACAGCAACGTTTACAGAAATTTACAGGGTTTGTAATAGTAATAGTATTAGTTGTTTATTAAGTACAATGTAGAATATTGGGATTTATTATTTTAATAAAGCAATTAAGCATACTGCTCCTAGGGCCATTTTAGCCTTTATTTATAATATAAAATTTATCACTTACAAATACAATGTTGCATTTATTGTTACTTTAAGACTACTAAATATTATTTATAATGATATATTTAATTTCTCTAACCATGTTTTATTTCTTTAAGGATATGTAATTTCTCTTTATATCCTCCTATACTACCTCTATAGATCTGAAATACTGTTCTCGATCACAAATGTAACTTATTGCATTTCGTGTATTTTTCATGTGATTGATCACGATATTCGGTATTACATATCTATCATCACAGTAAGTATTGATATTACATAAATTACAAAATTGATTATCTCTTATCTGATTATTACATAATATCATGTGATTGCACAGAAAAATTAAAGGTGTTCTTAGATAGTAGGTAAAAGTAACCCATTATGTGGCTTTGTTTGTATTATGTTATATGAACTACTATGAAGCCCAATTGGAAGAGATTTGGCCATTTCATGAAGTTCACATGACCTATGCGCTTCGAATCAGCCAATAGAATCACAAATAAAATTACCTGCAATTTAATTGGCCACTTCGAAGTGAAGAGGTCACATGACTTTATTGAAATGGAGCCTTTATTAAATATACTATACAATATGTAATATACATACATACTGTACGTACTGTACGTGAAAAAATTTGGGCTATCATATAAACAGCACATCACTAGTTACACAACATATTACATCAACAAGTGACCGATATGCTGACGCCATTCGCTCATGTTAATATTCAACATTAACAATCATGCCTTATAAGTAAAATTTCATTCTGAAAATTTTACTTAGAGGTCGGAAGTTAGTTATAATAGTAAATTTTGTTTTTTTACAATTTCTTATGTTTTTCACATTTGTTTTGTTACACGAGATCCTGTGATTTTATTGGATCTGGATAGGGTCGGAAGTGATATTTAGTGATCTTCAGCCTTATAGACAGAAGTTTGTCTGATTGGCTAATAAATTCAATTTAATTTTACATTATTTATACAGTTTAGAGTACTTTTTAAAAAAACAAAAACCAACCATAATAAAGTAAAAAAAAAACCATATAGAAGATTTCATTAGAGGTGTAGGACTCCATAGCCAAAAATAAGATCTAATTCTTGTTCGTTTAAAAAAGTTAGTATAGTAATAACTTCTCAAAACCCAATAAAATCAACTTATTACTAAGCTAATTTTTTTAAATGAACTAAAATTAGATCTTATTTTTGACTATGGAGTTCTACAGCCCTAATGAACATTCTATATGATTTTTTTTACTTTATTATTGTTAGTTTTCGTTTTTTTGAAAAGTACTCTAAACTGTATAAAATAATGTAAAATTAAATTGAATTTATTAGCCAATCAGACAAACTTCTGCCTATGACATTAAATAATGTAATGACATATTATGCATCCAGAAAATGTACATACGTATCTATACATACCCCAAACCACAAACTTTTAAAATCCCAAATTCTCAAATCCAACAGGTGTTAAATCATTACCCAAAATTTTTTCAATTATTCTAACTAGCCAATCAAATTTAAGATTAGGTGTAATGTAACATGATTAGGAAAACCCTTACAAAATTTCAATATAAAAATATTTTCAAGTTTAAAATTATTATAATAACAAATTACTGACTTTAATCTAATAATGTAAAGTGACAATTTAATCAGAATGCTCAAATTCCATTTTTTATTTCAAATCTTATTTCAAATTTCAAATTTCAAATCTTATTTCAAATTTCAAATTTCAAATTTCATCTTATATTCTAAATCTTAAATCTATTAAATAAAATAAAATAATAATATAAAAAGATATTAATCAAAAACTATAATTAAATTCTTTTTTGTACATCATCAAAACAAACAAACTAAAAAAAACAAAGTATAATAAAAGACTTGGTACTAATAGTAAATAATAATAGTTTTGAACTAATAAGTATTTATATATAACAAGAAAACAATTAAGAATAGAATAATATAAATAAAACAAAATAAAGAAAAAAAAACAAGTCAAACAGCAATAATAAAAATTTTTTTTCAAATTACTAAAAAATTTTTTACATATAATTTTTTTAAAAAAATTCTAAAAATACAACTATATATAACATAATAATAGTTAAAAAAACAACTTTCAAGATATAAATAATTTAATTTCCTATTAATAATAACAATCAAAAACATATCATTAATATTATTCTTATTATTCTTATTAATACAAAAAATAAACAATTTAACTTATTTCTAAAGAATTTTAAAATAATAAGTTTTTTTTATTAAGATGATCTTTTTAGTCTTGATTTTTACTAACAACTGTTTTAATAATATAATTTTTATAAACTATTACAGAAAAAATATACAATTAATTACATATATAACTTTTGAATATTACCTATTTAAGAAGTCTGCTTAAAAGTTTTCTATCAATTGTAATATCTAACATCTCTGTTTAGATGTTCTATTTTTAAACCTTCTAAACCTGCATTTATATTAATGTTACTAAATTATATTTAAGTTATTATCTTAATTTTAAAACTATTTTATCTTTTAAAAAAACTTTTTAGAATCTTCTGTATCTATTTTTACAACTAACTTGATATTATTATAATAGAACTAATACTTATAATTAAAGTTTTATTTTTAACTACTATATTCTTATAAAGTTTACTCAAATTTTAGTATTTATTTTATAGTATATCTCTAGTACTTTAATATATTAACTAAAAAAACAAGAAAAGATTTAAAGAAATATTAATATTTTATATAAATAGTTTACTAAAAAGTATATTAAAAAAAGAAGATTCAACATTAAATCAAATAAGAACAGGCTAAGTGCAATTAGATAAAAAAAAGAAGTACTAAATAAGAATTGTTTCAGTATATAAAATTGATTATTATCAATAAAATCAGAGTTTTTAACAATTTGGTTTGTTATTTTTATAACACTAGAACAAAAAAAAATAAAGATTTTATACAGACAATATAATAGCAATTGCAAGTCTTAAAAAAAAAAATCAATTTAATAAATAACAACTAAAAAAAAAAATTATAATTTACTAAAAAATATTAAAAATATTATAAAGTTAAAAAATTTAGAAATAGAATTAGTTAAAGTTAAAGACTATAGTAATAATAAATAGAATAATAGAGCAAATAATTGAGCAAAAAAAAGAGTTAAAATAGATAGTTTAAATAAATAGTAAAAAAATCTTTTCAAGAAACTAGCATCTTAATTTGTTAGAAAAAAAATTATAGAAGACCTTACAAGAAAATTTATTAAAGAAATTTTAAATTTACAAATAAGAACTAAATAGAGTTTTTTATCAGTAATTAAAAGGATAGAACCAAATAATAATAAAAAAGTATTCAATTAAACATATTTATAGAAAAAGATTAAAGACCAAAGTAAAAGTAGATGTACAAGCCAAAAAAAGAATATGCAAATAAGAACTTTAATTAAATGTCTTAATAATAAGTTGCTGTTACTAAAATCTTTAATACAAAGAAGATTAGACCTTTACAAAAGTTCTTTTTATATACTCTGCAATAAGAAAAAAGAAGAAAACTAAGAACATTTAGCAGTATGCAAGTATTATAAGAACAGCTAGAAAAAAATAAAAAACATTATAATTAATTTTGTATAGACTAAACTTTCAAGTGAAATTCAAGTAATTATAAGCAAAAAGCAACTTAAAGAAATTTTTTGACAAGTAAACAAACAAAAAAAAGAAGAAACAAGAGTAAAAATAGCCAAATTTTTAGTTCAAAAAAAGACAATTAAGCAAATATATAATATACTAAAGCTGCTTAAGAAAGCAAAAGAATTTTTAGACATAGTAACCAATACTATATAAAATAAGTTCTATGAAACAATATAGAGAGAAGATATAAAGTTATTATTAAATAAGAAAAACTGATAAACATTAACTAATCATCAAAACAAAATAAATCAAA